ATTTTCAATCTATAGTGGACCATTTTGACCCTTTATTATGCAACTGTTCAGAGCTTGTAAAGTCTATTTGTAATTTGCATTGTCTATGAAGTGTTTTCTGGAATGTTTGTTTGTGGATCCCGAGTGAGGCATTCTCTCTAACCCGTTTTCTCTTTAGTAGGTTCTAAGGGACCATGGGAGGCTTCGGGGAGGTTGACCTTTGCGGACGGACACGCAAGGGTGTCGCACGACTTAGGCAAAACCAGCTAAGTCCGTGACAGGATTGACATGCAAGGGTACCACACGATTTAGGCAAAACCAACTAAGTTTGTGATTGTTGGTATCAGAGCGGGACAAGCACACATAAAAACACTTTGTATGTAAATGTGAGGGACCTAGCGAGGCTATGTTGAGGGCAGCTAGAACATGCGGCCGTTTGAGGGAAACGAGCATTGAGATGTAGGGAAATGAGTCACTCAAAGGAGCAGACATCCAAGATTGGTATTTAGAGGAATGTCCAATATTTCATGCGAGTGGCACCACGAGGACAAGCGAGCTAAGAATAATGTGTAGCATACAAAGGTTAGGATGGCTGAGTTCGAGCTGCGACTCGATGTTGGCAACCAAGCTTGATGGTGCTCAAGGTAAGCGGGGTGCTTGGTAAAGGATGAGACCATGTAAAATGGGATGGGTTGCTCAGCGATCGAAAGAGTTATGCAAAGCTTAAAGAGGTGAGAGGAATTGCTAACTTTAAAAATTCGGTACTCATGCAAAGGCTTGTATGCGGATAATAGATTGTCTATGGCCATTCCAAGGTGATTGAAACTCAGCGCTATGGAGTATTAAAACTTTCTCTTCGATATGAGAAGGATACATCTATAGGAAGTTGAAGTGTGTTGCAAGTTCAGCATGTTTCTAGGCCTTGAGGGGTGCGGTGGGGGTTATATTAGCGAAGAGTCACAATCTAACAAGTGCATTTATAGGGGCAGAACAATGCATAGTTTTTTTAGCAAGACAGAGAAGTTCAAGGAGATGGTGATCTTCGAAACTTTCATAGGGAAGGATGTGAAGAGATAAGTTGCTCTAACGGGATAAATATCGAGGAGAGATAAGTACCGATTCTCCAGAGAGAGAATCATATGCAATGGACTACACATGTTGAGGGGGAGTATCTCAAGACAACAACTCCACAAAGCTCAACGAACCAAACGAGCGGGCAAGGAGTTTGTCGTATGATTTTGCATGAGCTAATGCGTTGGTGGACGCATTACGAAATCAAGTGGGGGAGTGACCCAAGGTAACACTAAATGAAGGTACACTTGGGGTTGATATGAAGATTGGACTCAACGAAAGGTTGACTTGTAGAACGGTGGGCATGAAGGCTACCATTTACTCAATACAAACCATGGAGCAGAGCAACTTGGGCGTAGCTTGGTGAAGTGCCTAAGCCACATGAAGGGAGTTGACATAGAAGGCTGAATATGGAGCGAATACACAAAGCTTTCCTTAGACAAAGGTCAAGGACATGAACTCTTGCATAGGCAATAGTGGGAATGAAGTAGGTAGTACGCAATGTTGTACCTTTGCTACTCAGAGGAGTAGGCAGCAGAGATGATGGAAATGACGGTACAATCCTAGAGGCGACCAAAACTATTATAGACTGGCTTCAAGTTGGGGTGAAAACTTCTTGCATTTTAGAAGTTCGATAGCAATGAGAAAGTGAATTATAGTAGCTAACTCAACGCAAGGAGTGCAAACACTTTGAGTGCTTCAGAAGTGTGGGCATAGAGCAAGCGAAGGCTAGTGCTCGATGTATGGAGTACAACTCTCTAAGAGGTGGGCAAGTCAAACAACTTTTGCCTTCTCAACGCTTAAGAGAATGGACGAAATTAAGTACTCCAATTCTCTTATTTATCCAACATAGGAGCTTTATATAGGTTCAAAGACCCTTCGAAGAAATTTAGTGGAAGACAATAGTTGTCAAATCCTCACCAGTAGTGATCAGTGCTACTAAGAGTAGACTATCTGCTTTATTTCCCAACAAAATATCATTCGAAAGCAAAGTGATGCAAATATACTTGGAAGCGATAACTAAGTGGAAGAGGAATCGATGGGCAAATTTTGCGAAGGATCCCAAAAGCTTTAAAGTCTGTGAGGCGATGCTCGTTAAAGCTCCAGCAGGCATCCACCCAGTTCAAGCAGCATGAGACATTTGAGAGACTGACGCATAACAAGAAAGGTCTTTTCCTTCATCTGAAGGATCCACAGGAATCAATAAGGATCAGCACAACTCAGTCGACCTCATACCAAAGTTAGAGTCATTGGCGAATTGAAGCAGCATGACGAATCAAAGTTTCACTACGCAACAATAACGGCGAAGAGCAGTTGGGAGCCAAAAGGCACGTTGCAGTTGGAGCAAAAGATTGAAGACTCAACAAAGGAGAGGAAATGCAACGTCTGTAAAGGCTTTGACAAGGACATCAAAGGAATAAGTATGGGAAAATACCACGGACAAAGTTATAAATGGGGTATTTAATGTAATGCTCATGTACGTCCGCGCCTTTCGGTTTTGTTCATGCTTTATATAGCATGTAGAGGGTTGGTCGTAGGCTTGGCAGCCAAATTTTGGTTGGCTTTAGTGATCGTTTTATGCTTGTAAACGAAGGTTGTATCATTTGGGCACTCGTGGGGATTTCGGTTTGTAAGGGACTATCTTGGACCCTTTGTTATGCGACTGTTCAGAGTTTGTGAAGTCTACATTTGTAATTTGCATTGGCTATAAAGTGTTTGTTGAAATGGTTGCTTGTGGATCTCGAGTGAAACACTTTCTCTAACCTGTTTTCTCTTTTGTAGGTCCTAAGGGATGATAGGAGATTTCGGAGAGGTTGATCTTTGTGGATGGACGCATAAGGGTATCGTACGACTTATGCAAAACCAGCTAATTCCGTGATATCATGTCAGATCATTGGTTTACCACCCAAGGATAGTTGATAATATGCCACCTTTGTTGATATAATATTTATAAAAATTAATTTATTTTAACAAAAAGTATTATTTTAAGGTTTTTTACTAGGGCTACTATCAGGTACAACTTATAGTATCTAGTTGCCTCCACCTTGGTAGATTTAAATGTCATTATTTCATCAGTCCAAAGATTTAATCTATGGTAAGAGAACTACTAAGAAACTAACTTGAAAAAATATATATAATAAGTATGTAATACTCAATCATATATAAGTATCAACATCACACAATGATGCATCTTTATACAACACCAAATTTTGATTTATGATTTTTGATACATGACGTATTAACCTTTTAATCATATTGAATCTCATAACATAAGTAATATAAACATTCATCGCATATCAAATAAGACAATTAATATTTTAAGTGCAAGATTTATCATATTCAAACAAATCACTGATTATATGCTTGGTAAAAATTTGATACCAAAATAACATTATGTCTTTTGAGACTAAGTCAACTTGCCATTTTTATACATCATATGAAATTAATAATTAATCACATTGGATGTTATGACACATGAAATATAGACATTCATTATTTTCATATATTGGAAGATTTTGTAAATTAGAGTTAACTAACTATATATATAATATTTCTCAAGAATTATTTATTAGATCATCGACATTATTACCTATACTCATATATAAGAGCCTACTTTTCTTATCAACTCATGGTGCATTTTCTTGATCAGTTTTATGATGTTCTCTTTAATTCCATTAGTTATGAATGTCATAAATTGAACAAGATGCATTTTGATATAAATTTAATTGTGAGGTCTAAGTGTATACATTTATGTTATCCAGGTTTAGTGGGCTCTAATAGAACCCTGTTGCCTTAAGCATAGTAATGATTTATTTGTCCAGGAGAATTGATTCTCTTTTTCCCCTTCTTTTAATTATTATTTATTTTTTATCATTTATGATTATTATCCCTCTCTCCCTTCCTTTTGTAGATCAATCCCCCTCATGATTTCTTAAGTATATCTACTATGCAATTCAAGATTACCCAACTCAAAGTAAGTACATTATCTAGAATCTCAATCTTCACAGGTTCATGGATGATAAACTAAATTGATGCATATAGTGAAAGAGACCAATAAAAGGACAACAGAACTTTGTGAAAGAGACAAGAAGGATCCCTACATTATAATATTATATTGTTCTATGGAAGATAAAAAAAATAAGAATTTAAACCCCTAACTTTATCTTGTAAGTGATGACCTAACATCGTCTTCTTCTCTCTTCATAGCCATGCTCTCTACCACCAACAGGGAGGAGGTGGGGGTGGATGTAAATTTAGAGGGAGGGGTGCTAACCGTAACCCTAGATTCCACTCATTTAATCCTTTGTGCCTGTACAACAAGAGGGTGAGTCATGGCATAATGATAAGGTTGATCTCGGGGACAAGGGTTTGGATCATGGAAATAGCCTCCCTGCTTACAAGGGTAAAATGCTTCCACTAGCCTTATGCTCGTAGATCAAGAACATTCCATATCCAAACCAAAGCCCCTGAACTCAAATCCTAGCTTTACTAGGATTTCCAAAATATGGGCTTAGACTTGTTTTGATTTGGTATTATTTGGGTCTTCCCTAACATATACTACTTGTAGTACTTCACATTTGGATCTTTTGCTTAGCTTATGATAACATTGTTAGTTGATTTTATTTTTAAAGCTTGATAATATACTGGTTAGTGATTATGTGTGCTTATATATTTTATGTTATCTCTAGGTTTCAACATATTTGAATTTGGTTTACCTAGCATGAAATTGTTGTAAGTATTCTGTACCTTTGGAAAATATGCCATAGATGGTGATTATTATCATGCTCATTAACAGTAAACCACTAAAAACAGGTAAATTTTTTCAGATTGTTGCCCTCTTATATACTTGTGCCAATCGGTGTTTAGCTTTCCTGGCATGTTTCCTTGTGCTCGACTCTTTTGACCATTGGATTATTTATCTTTCCTGATGGAAAATCATGAATTTGCAGGTATGTTGCACCAGAGTATGCAATGACAGGACATCTACTTGTTAAGAGTGATGTATACAGCTACGGGGTTGTGTTGCTGGAGCTTTTATCTGGTCGGAAGCCTGTCTACATGTCTGAGTCTGAGGGGCCAGAGAACCTTGTAACGTGGGCACGCTCTCTCCTGGCTAGCAGGGAAGGAGTGGAGAAACTGATGGATCCATCATTGCATGGAAAATGTGACCTAGATGATGTGGCCAGAGTTGCAGCCATAGCTTCAATGTGTGTTCATGCCGAGCCATCTCAAAGGCCATTCATGGGAGAAGTTGTACAGGCCCTGAAGTTGATATACAACGACATGGAGGAGACTTGTGAAGGTTCATACAGCCAGAAAGAGTCATCAACTGGTATGGATGATGACTACAGAGGAGATTTTGGAGCTGAGAGTAGCTGGTGGAGGAACGGGGTTTCCCCATTGTCATACAGGCATGGCTCTCCCTTCATAACCATGGACTATAGTTCAGATCCAATGGACGAACTGCAGAGGCCCCATTCAACATCTCAGTTGGCTTCTAGGACTGAAGCAAGGTACAACAGGTCTGGTCCTTTAAGGACGAAGAAGAAAATATCTGATAGATTGAGAGGAAGCATCAGTGAACATGAGCACCATTCACGGCATCTGGGTATGAAAGATCATTACGGCTCAAGTTTGTGAACGGTGATTCTGTTTCTCACTTTTTTTTCTTCTTTTTATTGTATAGCTTTGTCATATAGTTTTTTGTGCTTTGGGCATCCCATGAGCTTCTGATTTTGGATGACAGTGATTCATTTCTTGTGAATTCCATGTGTGTTGGATTATGTTGTGGCTGTCGCCGAAGTTAGCTGGTAATGTTTTGTTAGTTTCTAACCTACTGTTGGGTTTTCGTGTTTGTTAGTTGTTTCCTTTGCCAAATTGAATAATTGGTGGCTGGCAGCTAAAATTATTGTTAGACTTGCTCAAGCAATAGCTCCTTTTTTGGTGGTGTTATTATCTGTTCCCTAAGATTCAATTGATACATTTACAAGTGTCAGAGGTTTCGGGTGTGTTTAGTTGCAAAAGGAGTTCATCAAAATAATTTTTCTCTGAAAATTTTCTTTTGATTTTTCGTTGCTTGTTTGATGTGAAATCCTAAGATCTTATTTCCAGGAAAAAAAAAAAGTCTTCAAACATCTTATTTCTTATTTTAGCCTAATTTTCAGAGAAGACTGTTTTTAATATCCCCAAGAGTTGGACTAAAGCAAATCCTTTAAGATAGGGTTTGTAGCAGTCTTTTTCCTATCAACATCTTCTTATTATGTTTGGATTAAATTTGGTCCCAAACATAGTTAAATTAGTACGATAGCATTTTAGGTAACATTAACTTGTTCGGAGTCCTAAATTTCTCCACAATTGGGTTGCTTCCAAATTGTGATGGAAAATAGAAAGATTAATAATTAATAGTTATTACAGGCAATGATCCGATTGAGCAACTGATAAATCGACATATCCTTTTTTTACTATAACTTGCAATGATCAGAGTTTCTACATCCTATCTGGAATGAGATTCCAGAAGTAAAGAGGCTCTTTTTCTCTTTTTGTCGGATATGTTGTGAACAATATGTCCGAACACGACATCATTTGGCTTTCACTAACCTTCTCGTTTAACCTCATGCAAGATTTGGATCGACTACTTATTTTAGTTCACGGCATTTTCCTCTCAAAGTCGGTGTTCCAGAGTCGGAGTTGCTTCTTTCTTCTTCCCGATTCGTTTCGTTGCTCAGAATTCTTAGGCTCTGCCTCAGAATGTCGATCTCTCGATCTCTCTTGCGTGCCTCCTCCTCCATTTTATCCACGCGTGATCGCAGTCTTTCCACTGTCTCCTCTTTGGCTTTCGCCTCCCTCTCCAGCGGCTCGATCATGCCTTCTTCAGCTCCCAAGTAGAACCTCTGCCCATATTCAGCCCATGTGGGCTTTATCAGCCCACACCCTCTCTTAACCTAACCTTAATTAAGATTAGGGGGGTGTGGTGGCTGCGTTTTAGAGGCAGATTAAGGCTAT